ACCCCATTTCTCTTGAAACCCAATGGTCCTCTATAGCCCAGTTCATATATTCACTCAGACCTTCCCACTCATTCTTCTCTCATCGTTTCCCACGCACCTCCAAAGCAAGTTCCTCCACTTCAAACTGCTTTCTGGACATGCGGTCCTCGCCAACAGCCTTGTGGTAGTAGATGACCATTACATCATATCTCTTCATCACGGACTTGTAGTTCTTGATGGTCAGCTGATGGACGCGGTCCTTGCCGTCATATTCGGGGAACTCCAGGCCCTTCTCGCTCCAGCACAGATACGCACAAGTTAGCAGAACCCCCAACAGCAGCCAACCCCACTTCATGACACTGTTATGCTTCACTTGAAAGGTTTAAAATTTCTTAGATTTTTACTTTGTTCCTAACTAAAGCCAAACTATTAGGAACAAGGTCCAATTCGTGCGCCCACCACCCTCTCTTGCTCCCTTTTAAAAAGACACATGCGCAAGTTGACTAGTTGATGCCTCTTGGGTGTCGGATGGTTGGGAGCTAGTAAATACAGTCGAGCAAGAGAAATGCTGTAAATGGGTGGAGCCAAATTTGACAATTTGTACCTGCTGGAAGCAACAGGATCAAACTGAGTGACATGTGCATTGGGTGCTTTCACTGAAAGACAGGTATTGGGCTGGGCGACAGGATTCCATTGCCATATTAAGTTTTGCAGGGCTTTGACCCTTGCTAAAAATAAGTTCTTGTTTGGACGCTGAGAACACCCTGCGTACTGTATGTTGTGCCGCTGCGTTCGAGCTGGCACAGATGAAGTGTCCAGTTTCACTCTGATTCTGTTGGCCAAAGCAAACACTCCCAAAGCCTTGTGCTCTACATGGTGACTTGATTTTATCGAGGGAGGAATGGTTGCTAATTATGATTTCAGAACGATGCATTCTCAATTCAAGGTCACAGGTTGGATTTCCAGGGAATAACGCATACTGATAGCAATGCACATGAATGCACTGCAAGTGTCTGCCTGTTGAACAAGTATAAAATGATAAATCCATAAGCCTAAATCATGCATGTGTTTTGTGTATAGATTGTTTTGAATGCATAATCCATGCATTCATGAGAAACAGCAGCAGATAAAGCAGTGAAACAGTCCCTCAAATATTCGTTTACAAAGTCAAAGCATTGAGTTGGGATATTAATAAAGTTTGACACCTGACCTCAGCTCTTATATTTCATGTGCTGCCTGCTAAAACACTTTGAGGCATTTGAAGGGAGTTTTGTGTGGGCAGTTGAAGTGGATGCATGGACTGTAAATATATATTTTTGCTTTCTGCTCTTTGGCAAATATCATTTGAAATTCAAAATATGTGCCAGTGATGATGTCATAATGAATTTATAGTTTAACAATAACAAGAGATGGAGGTGTGTGTGTGTGTGTGTGTGTGTGTGTGTGTGAGAGAGAGAGAGAGAGAGAGAGAGTAGCAGAAAATACAATGATACCCCATACATCCAAACATTATGACAGCGCCCTCTTGTGGCAGGGTCTTTAATAAGCATCAGCGGATTAATTTACATTTGTACATCATTTTACATTTATGCATTTGTCAGTCAATTTTATCTAAAGCCACTTGGATTGCATTCACATACTTTGAATCACTGGAAACACATAAAGGGGCCATTTTTTATTTGATGTGGACCACAATAATTGCATCATGTATTATTATATTATAATATATTATAATGTCATATTGGGAAACTGATTGTGCGCCACCAAAAATCAAGAGCACTGTGAAACAGCACTGTGAATGTCAATACAGAATACATTTAATATACTACAGATTTTGCATGTGTGCATATGCTCTCAGAAGGGCACTCATCCCCACCCGCCGCATGAGAGAGTGTTTATCACGTAATGCAATCACGACATTTGCCCAAGACTACACTATTGGCACAAAATATGTGGACAGAGCGACAGAGGAAGACATTATTGCACTTGTAAACATAAGAAAACCTGACACGTTTACATATGGTTAGACGGTAGATGGTTTATTCAAATCTGACTTACAAGACAGATTTCCATCTGCTGCAGATCACACATGTCACAGTCACAAATGTGCACAAAGATACAAAAGGCCTGCGACGCCTCTGTTCACATTCTGTCAAAAATCTTTTAGTGGTGAATCTTGTTGCTTGGCAACTACAAACGTGACAGACTGTTCGCTGAAGTTGGTGTTTGCTGTTGGTTATTGGTTTGAATCTCTCTGGTTGTTTGAGGTGAGGGTCATCCAAAGTACCAGAAGTAGTAGTTAAAGAACTGACCATCAAAAGACCCGGTTGATCCCTACGCATTTATAGAAAAGTGTAAAAAGCAAAGCAATGAAACACAACCAATACTAGGCCTAAACCTCGTTCATTTTATACTGGAGCAGACGACATCTGCCCTCACAATAGCAGCGTTCTTTGCTCCCGGAGTCTCTGATGAGGCACGGTTAAACTGTGGCTCGGATCTGGGCCTAATTGGGTGGGTAATTATGGTTTGACACAAGCAGAGAACAGAGTTAATTAACCACAGTCTGGCAAATGACATTGATAAGCATACCGGGAATAACGCCACCTTCAAATCATGTTGGAATGATCGCATTTATAAGAGGCCATGAACATCATTTCAAGTGGGAAACTCTGGATTTCCAACTCTCTGAGCTTGGTATTGACCGTAATAAATAAAGTTTTCATTTTGAATGTTGAGGGTATTTTATTTTATTTATTTATTTTATTTGTAATTTAATTTAATTTAATTATTTTCTAAGGTTGGCCAGTTGCATGAGAGGTGAAACATGAGTAAGCTCTACTAGAGATGTGCGAAACAGATTTTCATACATTTCATTTCATTCCAGAATATGTATTAAGCGGGGAAAAATGGCAGTTTCGATTTACATCGTCATGCAAATCGTGAACAAAACTGAGAAATATGCAAATGCTTGACACATTCATTTTATTCCAGCCAACATCATCTACATCCAAATGCACACACACACACACACACACACACACACACACACAACCAGTTCCTTTCAGCGACATCACAGAATGAATCCAGCGGAACGGAGCTTTTCAGAAGCATCAGATGACACAAGCATGTGCTCTCTGTCTCTAAATGGCACTTTCCACAAATACGGCACAAAATGAGTCTGAAACTCTTATAAAATGAACGAAATTTTTTTGTACATTGTTACAGTGTTGCAGATTTAGGCTAAGTTAAAGAGGTTAAGCTGTAACTTTGTATTATTGTATTTAGCATTGCTGAATCAACCTAGATACATCCATTTATACCAACAGCAAAACACATTTTTATGGGTTAAATCAGGTTAAAAAAAAAGTCTTCTTAAGGTAAGTTGAGCTTATACAGTCAACATTACATTTAGTTTAAAAAATAAGAAATTGTATTACATAACAGAGTGTTATTAACAACTAATTACATGCAAATACAAAACTATATTATTGGATATAAACATGTTATGACATTTTAATTGTTCAGAAAGTCATAACCTCTGAAATGCAACAGCCTAAAATCCTCATAATTAAAGTGAAATCCAGATTTTTAAATGAGCTACTTTTCATTCTAAGGTTAATTTATGTTACATAACCAGCATATCTAATGGAAACATGTGATTGGTGCCTTTAATGCTCTTAATGGGATGCATTTATGAAAAGAGCCTAACAAACTGAAAAAGTCCGAAAACTTGTTTTTCTCCTCCCGTCTCTCTCCCTCCCTCTCAACCTTCTCTTTGTGGCTTGTGTTTCTCAGGATGTTTTTAGAAGTTCTTCTGTGAGTCTCTTTCTTCTCTGTTCCGTGTCTTGTGACAGGGAGAGAGAACTTCCCCATTACAGCATTTCCTGAGGCGCGCACACACACAAATACGCTGCTTTGATATGTCAGGGTCTTGCTCTCATTTGCATGGACCTGTAGTTTTGTCTTGGCGCGTGCATGTATTTTTGCATGTTCACATGAGCCTGAGGTGAACTGAGCATGCATGCATATATGCCCTCGCCTATGATAATTAATTAACTGATAAGTCAGCACATGACGAGCATATGACAAGACAACTATTGTGCATATATGAGGAGCAGACTATCAGACAGGAATATCATCTGTGCATCCTGAATCCAGTTGGCTTTTCGCTCAATGGCAGGCGCACGCGTGTGAAGCGAGTCAAAGCAAACTGGGTCACGGCATCATGGACTGCCACCGTCAGCACTGCATCTAAATCCTCTTCCACTGCGCTTACAAATCCCTTTCAAAGAGCAAATTAAAAGCCAACTTGGTGTTAATGCTACACTGATACCAACGAACTTGCATTTCCAATGCACCAATGACATTTCCATAAAACTCAAATGAAATATGCAAATGTTACGATACGAATGGCCTGATGCCACCGCACCGTGATTAAGTGTCTGAAGTCTCTCTCTCTCTCTGCGTTTTATTTGAAAATCATGTTCTTTATTTAAGTCTGCAGTGCTTTCGCACTCTCTGCTCTTTGGATTTGCGATGTATTAAACATTCATGAATGAAGAGTCGATATGGGGATGAGTATTTTGCGGTAGGTTTATAGTCTCGAGAGAGCCGTGCAGTTTAATCGTGTCTATATAACATCACGAGGTCAAGTTAACATGTGTCGGAAAAAATCAATAAACAGACAAGCAAGCAAGATAGATAGATAGATAGATAGATAGAAATCTCTTTTGTTGTCATATTTTGCACGTTGACTTTGCTGCCCCCTGTGGACAGATGCAGTACTGCAGGACATTCCACTCTCCTTCCAAAAGTAAACCACTGCAATTAAAATTAGTTTAGAAATACTTGGCATACTATAATTATTTATTTTAAAGATCGGTACGGTAGCTATACTTAACGTTTCGTCGACGGGGATTGTGTGTGTGTGTGTGTGTGTGTGAGAGAGAGAGAGACAGAGAGAGAGGATGAGGATGTGGGATTGTGTGGAATAAAAGGAGGAGGGATTATCTGACCGGATAGCACAGTGACATCAGGCCAGAAAAATGTGTGTGTGTGTGTGTGTGAGACTGCAGATTCAGAGAGCGTGTGACTGAGAGAGAGAGAGAGAGAGAGAGAGAGAGAGAGAGAGAGAGAGAGAGAGAGGAAAAGGCGTTTCCATTCTCAAACCGGCGAGACGCTCAGAAACGCGCGAGCACCATCCAGAGAACGGACGCGTAAAGTTTCCACGACGTCTTCGTTCATAATAACCCCAGCTTCTGCGTAGATATTCACGCTCTTTGACGCTGAAGTTTTGACCGAACTGTGTTTGTGCTGAACTAAACTTTGCATTTGGGTAGCCACCGCGGATCTCATCCATCACCACCGGGAGCTTCATCATCATCTTCATCATCTTCATCATCATCGCCGGATCACCGGGCGCGCGGAGTAAGTCACACATCTATCCCTGAAAACTGTGCTTTACAGAAGTAGAATGTTTGGACCCTGGAGCACCACTATCATTCATACAGTGTTTCTATCTAATACCCTCCCACGGTAATATCTATCTATCTATCTATCTATCTATCTATCTATCTATCTATCTATCTATCTATCTATCTATCTATCTATCTATCTATCTATCTCTCTGTCAGTTATTCTTATAGCGGTAGATCGCCGTGGACTCACGCTGATCCGGTTTGGCTGATTGTTCGGCGGAATGTGCGTCTTATTAAAATAATAATTTAATTATAGTTGTGTCTCAACTACGCCGGAACAGAATCTGAACGGCTCTCCTATTTTTATTTTTTTTTGCGCCATAGAACCATGTTTCAATTATTTCCAGCGGCTGTAGAATAATGAGTGGTGGAGTCCCGATTCCTGACTTTTAACTAACTATTTGATTTGTAGTACAGTATCTTTCCTGCATTATTTGTGTTCTAGTTTAACCTAGGACTTGCATAATGCAGGCTAAATGATGTTAATGCATGGAATTCCTCTACAATGTCTGCTTTCGCCACCAACCCTTTTTTATTTTCACCAACACAATCTGGCAGCCATCGAACATTCTGGGTTGATTATCTGAAGGAGCTCAGTGGAACTGCTGTAGAAGCAGTCTGGATGAACTCATAATGCAACCTCAGACACAAACCCTCTTCCTGCTGGACTGTAGTGCTTCCCTCTTCTTCTCACAGCTGCTTTTCGTCTCGCCTGAACCAAGCAAAACCAGATCCGAGCGTGGAATGAGCAGATGCAGAATCTGACTCAGGTGTGTGTGTGTGTGTGTGTGTGTGTGTGCACCTGGCGAATGCTTTCTGCTCTCCTATCTCAGATATTGATTTGTGTTTTGCCTGTGGTAAGGGAAGGACGCAGCTCAGCAGAAACACACCTCCCTCATTGTCCTTGTGTGTAGAGAGTGTTTCAGGCTGGCATTGTTTGCTGGCCAAGAATGGTGCTGGAAACTTTGTTTAACAGAAACTTTAGATCATTGACAAGCCAACACCCCTGACTGACATCTCTTTCCCCCCAAAAGACTCTTTAAAAACTTTAAAAAGGCAGATCATCTAAAGCAGGTTGGTTGTGATTCAAAAAATTAGTTGCATGTCTGTTCTGAAAAAAACAAAACTAATGCAAATAGTACAATCCAACTAACCATGCAATCTTAAGATTGCAGGATCCTTATCAAGATTTAAAAGGCAGAAGCAAAATGCCTTCTGCACCTTACACTTTTTTTTTTTTTTTGCACATTCATCTGCTTTTATGGTAACATCTAACCAAATTAAGCAGGTTTTTCTGGTATGACGAACGATTTTGGTATTGTTTTGAGAACCATTTATTTAAAGCATGTTCACTTATGCAGGTGTTTTTTTTAATCCAGCAGCAGCCCATTTTTGCAATTCTTGTAACGTTTATTATCTTTGCTGCTCTCTCTGGTTATTTGCTGATTTCCTTGATATCTGACAGGAGCGCCTGAGGCGTTTGCTCTCGTCTGGTCTTCACCTCACTATCTAGACTATCACGCTGCAGTTTTTTAAAAAGGCTGTCATTGCTGCTTTTGTCCCTGTAGCCTATCTCTGGATGCGTTATATATTTTGGCCTAATGCTGAATGACACGGGCTGGCAAACAGAAGCGTTTGTTGAGGAGTGTTCTAGTGCCATGCAAGTCTCTGTTACATAAGGTCCATTTGGGGTTTCAGGTTTGCTGTGTGTGTGTGTGTGTGTGTGTTTGGTCCTCTCGGGTAAATCTTCGTCGTGTTGTTCAGTCATCTCCTGAGTGATATAATGACCGTGCAATTTTACATCCGCTCCGGTCTCACTCACAAGGTCGAGCTGAATCTATCCTCTGTTCGGTTTCATTTAGAACAGACAAAGGTTCACAGCAACTCTGGTCTGTAGTAGCAATGCTGGATAAAAACAAGCTTTCTTGCAGTTGCTCTGAATAGTGTTCATCCCTGTTTAGACGGGATTAGTTTTATGAGGTGGTGGGGTAATGTAATAATTGCTATATTGCTATAATTATACTATACATAGTTAATTTAATTGCACATTGCATTTAATAGTAAATTCAATTGCATATTTTGTTTTATGGCTACTTATTTCGATCAGTTCATGTGCACTTCATCAGACATATCTTATTGGTCAAAATATAAATTAATCTGGAGCTTTGATTTCCAAACAGGAAAAGTCAGTAAATGCCATATACCAGCCTCAGTCCACAATTAGTCTCGAATGCACAGTGGAAAATGAAAATATGCACTTCATAACTTCTCAGAGGGGCAGTACTTGCTGTTGCATATTTACGTTTTATGAATTTTAGTATATATATATATATATAAATAAAAGATTTCAAGTGAATGGATATTATTTTTTAGTGCATGACGTTTGTTACTCACATTGAAGAGAGATTATGAATTATGGTCCGTTCCGGCTAGTTTATGCAATTTATGTAATGTGCCTCCCAGTAATCTTATATTTTGTCATGTTTAATATTTCCTGCATAATTATGTATTGCACAGCCATTCACCTTTAGGCATTTAGACGCTGATATTCAAAGAGGAACATCACAAGCCATTTCAGAGTAAGCTAAAGTAAACTAGAGCAGACGTAAAAATGCAGAAAAGTAGAAGAAAATATTACAGGAACAATTTTGTTTTGACGACGCATTAATTAGAATTTATTAATAGAATGTATAACCCGCAGAAGTAGTTTCTTGAAGGTTATAATGGTCTGAGCAGATTCGGCGGAGGTTAAAAGCTCGTTCTACCGCAGAGGAACAGAGAGAGTGAAGGGTCTGGAAAGCGACAGAGTCTAAAAACAACGTTGTGATGGTTCATCAGGCAGTGCTTGGCCATAGAGCACGAGAAAGCACATAGACTACTAGGACAGGGTTGAGGTAAGAGCAACATAGGCTCTAAATACATTTCTGCAAAACTGAATCGCTGCACTTTCCAGTTGAAATAAACAATAGAGGCGGTAAAACTCTGACAACTTTTATTCCTTTTCACACAAAGTATGATTTGCAGGTCCACAGTTTCGATTACTAAAGCCTAATTTTCACACGATTACTTGAGGAATATTATGTTATGAATCCAAAACAATTTTCAACATGCTTGCGACATTTGAAAACGGATACTTTTGAAAGTTAGCATGACGTATCCAGCTTCATATGCACGGGTTTTTATATGCAGTAGGTTTGTTCGGAGTTCGACTTGAGAAGTGAAGAGCTCGGGTACGAATCCCGTGAAACTACGGTTGCACAAAACAGTTCAAACCTGCATATAAGGAAAGTTCAAAAGGCACGTTTGAGCCAACAAATCCATTTTTATACCAGTTTAGCATTTGTTAACAACACTATTGGGTAGGTTTAGGGTTGGGATTGGTGTTGGGGATATTTCCAACGATAGAGCATTAACTTTTACAGACATTCCTTGGATATTTGAATTATGAACCACCACAATACATACCTAAAGCAACGTGATAAAACACAGCAATATGTGGCTATATCAACATAACAAAAATGTGCCAGGGTAACGTATTGAACCCGCGTTTTAGCGCCACTCACTGGACGTTTCACTTTGAAACTGCCTCGAAATATGCAGTAAGGTACGTGATAGCAGTGTTGCAGAAATGTATTTAGAGGCACATATTTCCAGTGAGTCTGGGTTGGGTAAGAGGGTCCTGACGTCAAAGCCTTGAATTTGATGTGCTCGGCCACAGGTCACATGTTTAATACATCGGCCACATTTCTGTGAATTGACTATAAACTACAGACGTCTGCAGTAACATGATTTACAGACTTGTGTCCTGAAAACTAAACCCATCTGCACATGGCTTTTACCTGATGTGTGTTTTGCTAAGATAGGAATATGTCAGTTTAGAATATCTTTAGGTTTAAGGTTTAAGTTGCTTTGATGGCAAACGCATCAAAGGATTATTAAATAAATAAATAAAATAAAAGTTGTGGACCAACAGCTGCTGAGTGGCCAAGCAATCTGCCCTCTGCAGTTTCTCTCACATACTGAGACACTCACAGGTACACACACACACTCTCTCTCTCTCACACACACACACACACACACACACACACACACACTCACTCACTCCCTCTCTCTCTCTCACACACACTCGCACACACACAGCACCTCTCATAACTCACTCCCTCTTCAGCCAAATGAAATGTCTCGCTGGGAATAATTGGATTTGATAAGACCTGGTTCACTTCAGACTTCTGCACTCAAATTGTGGTGTTACTGAGAGCATCTGCCAAGGACTGAAGCGCTGTGTGTTTGTGTGTGTTTGTGAGAGAGAGAGAGAGTGTGTGTGTGTGTGTGTTGAGTGATGGTGGGTGTTGCAGTGGGAGTTATTAAGTAAAGGCAACATGATGCACTGCCCGCTGTTTTATTTGGAAACAAATACATATAGAAGCATCTATTTATCAGCTTATAAAATAGTGTGAGCTGATCGTTCTGTTGATTTGTTTACAACACAATCTTTCCATTTGGTTATTTACTGAATTGATCTTTACACAAATTTGTTTACAGAATACCGTGAAGTGATCTTTCATTTGTCTGTTTATAAAATACGGTGCACGGATCTTTCTGTTGGTTTGTGGAACACAGTGTTCCGGTGTTTTTGTCTGCTGGTTCTGTTATTGATTTTTTTTTGCTGTCTTTTAGATGAGAGTAACATCAAAGCATGAGTGCTTCAGGTCACTAAACCTTTTGAAATCACTCGGATTCAGATGACGTCAGATTCAGCTAATTATCTTCTCAAGTTGATTAGATATTGGGAAATGTTAGGACTATTATAGTTAACAACTAAAAAAATATACTTAAAATAAAATTATTAAACATTATCTGAAATAATCACAAATTTCCCTTTTCCCCATTGAAAACTGAATTAATAATTAAAGAGGACATATGATGCGATTTCAATTGTTCCTTTCTCTT